CGCAACATTGCCCGAAATGGCCCCCAGCCTGCTTCCAAGAGGACCCCCACAGGCTCTAACATGGCCCACGGAGTTTCCCACGGGTGCCCCTGACATGGCACGGCAATCGTGAAGCCATGAGCGTCAAACAATCGTGGCGTTCTCACGCTTCCATTTCCGATGGCCAGTAGGGCTGGGCGCATTCGGTGGCAACTCACGGGAGCGTCCCATACCATCTTGTTGGCTCGTGCGAATCGAAGCTAATTGACGCTGGTCGGCGGACGCTAAATCGACGCTAAATCGAGGCTGAATAGGCGCTGTCTAATCGATTACCAGAGGCTGGCGCACGCTACTGCACTTAAAACAAGGAGTTCCGAGGACATGCAACAAGGCTCCCATGATCTGCTACCGAAGGCGAAGGGATGGGCACTGGGTCAGGCGATCGAGCAACAAAGAAAAGTTGCATGAATATGCACTTTCTGAGGTCCGCGCGGATTTCTTGGATCGGCGCTGCAACCCCCTCCCTGGCGCGTGGAGCGCGCCTGGGGCGACGCTGGCCGCACCGCCACGCGGTTCCAGCGCCGACCCAAGAAATCCGCACGGCTATTTTGGTTGTTCCTCGACTCCTCGATTCGCCCAATCCAGTGCCCAGCCCTGCGCCCAGCCTTACGGCCCATCGAAAATGGAAGCGCGAGAACGCCACGGTCACTTGACTCTCATGGCTGTCCGATTGCTTTAGCATTGCAGGGTCCTTTTTGTGGGTCCTTCGTCGGTCCTCTTGGAAGCAGGCTGGATGCCACCTCGGGACCACTTGGGCCGCCTAGCTCGAGCGTGGTGGCCTTCTTGGGCCATCTTGCGGCCATGAGGGGATCGGCTCAAACGTTTCGGCGGTAGCCCTGGTGATCCGGTGAGGGGGAGAGGGGGAGGTGCCGGCCGATAGCGGAACCTTGTTCGCTCTGGGCAACCCCACGAATGCCCGCGCGCACAAGCACGGCGTACCCCCTTCGGACCTGCGCCACGGACAGGGTCAGGCTGGGTCAAGCTATCCGGGGGGGAGGGGAGGGGGGGGAGAATATCACTGCGACACCATGAGATAGGAAAGGTGCTTTTTCGCTAGCCTCGCTCGACAATGGGACCGCTCAGAGGTGCTGGAGCGTCCGTGCACACGCCTGAGCCTCGAGCATGGGAGGGGAGGGGTGGTGCGGGCCCGACAACACGGGTTATCGGCAGACCCTGAAAGCGGTCCCTATAGGACAATGTTGGGCGCTGTGGTTCTGGAGCGGCCGGCCCCCGTCGGGAAGGGTGTGGGGCAGAGCTCGGCTACACGCAGGGGTGACCCTGGGCAACACTGACCTTTGGTGCGCGGCTTCAGGTGGCTGCGAATGGGGGGGGGGGGGGGCAACCTCCAAGCGCACGAGCTGCTACCATCGTGTCGAGCTCAGCGATCGGGGGACCCCAACGAGCCCGCAGCAAAGGTCACTCCGGCGAAAGGTCACTCTCACGAGTCGCCGAAGAGCGTGGGGGATGGAGTCGGGGAGGGAGGCCCGGGACGAGCACCGTTCAAAAGACCCCCTCTCCCCAGGGGCGCGACCTGGGCCCCACTTGCCGCCCTGCCCCCCCAAGAGCTGCCCCCTTCGGGCTTCGAGGGGTACATCCCCGACTGGGACGGTGGGATGGTGGGGGTCTGGATGGGGATGGGGGAATCCAAAAGGTACCGATACCGCTACTCCCCAGGCCTCTCCCGGGGTGCGTTCGGACCCGACTTTCGAGGCGAATCCAGCGGTGACGACGAGAGCCTCCGAGGAGGCCCAGAAAGGAGAAAACGAGGAAAGGGCAGAGGCATGGGCACCTCTTCCTCCTCTGGGGGATGGGGGGGGGGGGGGATTCGGAAGCGGGTCGATTCACCGATGCTGAGACAGAGCGCCCGCGTGCGCCCCAGGCGGAGGTGGAACGCCGGTCGGCCGCAGCAGCCGTGCGGGCGAGGGCGGCTGCCGCGGGCCGGAGCCCTGCGGCGGCTGCCGCCGCAGAGGCGGACAAGACTTGCGGTCACTCCGTATCGCAAGGGTGCGCGACAATGACTACCTACCAGACCACCCCAACCCAACCCGAAGACCCGAATTTCGGGTTGGGGGGGGGAATGGGCTCCATATGTGTTTGTTCGATGCTCCCGGACCCCCCCCCCACTAGAAATCGAGGGTAAATCTGAGCCTTCGGGTTGGGTTGGGGTGGTTTGGTGGGTGGTGAGACAAGGATGCCAGGGCCTTGCACGCCCACGCGGGGCGCCGCCAACGACAGCGGCGAAGGATGGACCGCGGAGGTGGCCTATCCTTACTACAGTCGGGGCGTTGACCAAGGAACCCTCAATGAGGAACGAGGCCCCTTTTCATCCATGAGCTAAACTACGACTCCCCATCGAAAACAGAAGGAACACCTGAGGCAAGCTGTGAAACACTTGAGGAACACGGAGCCCGTCCCCAACGAAAAGGGTTCCTTCGGCAGGGCCCCGACTGTATGCCCATCCGTCGCCGTGCCGTCTGTCCCGGCGCGGGAGCCTCCCGTCTTTTCGAGGGCGCCTCGGCCCACTGGGCAGGCTCTGCCTCGGGCGCCAAGGTTTTCGCCGTGGCCGCGCGTCGGAACAGACGGCGCGGCGACAGATTCAATGCGTCGATCACGGGGTGGCGCTCCTGATCCTCCTGCTTCTCCTCCCCCTTCAGCTCCTCCTTCTGCTCCTCCTTCTCCTCATCCTCCTCCTCCCCCACCTCCTCCTCCTCCTCCTTCTCCTCCTCCTTCTCCTCCTCCTCCTCCTCCTCCTCCTCCTGCTTCTCCTCCTCCTCCTCCTCATCATCATTCTCCTCTTCTTTCTTCTCAGCGCCGTTTCCAGGAATCCAGGCCGGCGTCCGAACAGTTTATGTTTCTGCCACCTGCTGTTCCTCGATTGCCCAACCCAATGCCCGGCCCTACGCAAAGCCCCACGGCCAATCGGAAGTGGAAGCTGCTGGCAAGATTTGTATCCAAGTCCACTGAGTCGTGGACTTTCAGGGAGGTGGCGCCCGAAGAGGCCGAGGCGCAAGGGATGTGAATAAACATCTGGCCACCGGGGGCCAGACTTTTTGTTGCCCGCATCCAGTGCCCCTCGGGTGTCTGGGGAAGGGAGCCCGCAACTCCAAGATAACAAGGGGTATCTCGACCCGTATCCCAGGCTTTGAGAGGTTTTCGACTGGACCTAAAATTTTGGCCCAACCCTGGGATATACGGCGGAGGGGCGTCCATACCTGATAGGGGTGCGTCCGAATGGCCCCCTTGGGGTGTATCCCAGGGCTTCCCTCGTCTTCTGAGCGGCTTCATTCTTCGACGAAGCGTCGGGGGCTGGGGAAAAACATCGCCTGCGATAAGATGCAGTGGACATGGGCATACATTTTGCCCGCGACAGAAGGGCGCCAAGTGGTGCGCTCCAAAAAGGGCCTTGTCTTCGAGGATCGAAGGAGTTGGCATCTCTTCCTCGGCGGAAGACGGCGGAAAGTCGGCGAGAGTAGAACGAGGCCGCCTCCGCCGGCGGAAGGGCGGCGAAAAGGCGGCGGAAATAAAAAATGCGTCCCCAACAGATGAAAACGTTTTCGAATTCAGCGTTTCCGGAATCGCCCAAGTGGGTCCGAGAGCCCCCAAGACAGCGCCGTGCCAGGCGCCAGGAGGGGCCAGGCGGCGCAGGAGCGCGGCAAGGCGGCACAAGGGACCACGGGAGGCCTCCAAGAGGCCAAGGCGCTGCCAGGAGGCCCCACGGCGGCTTCACTGCACGGGCGCACCCCGCGAGGCGAGATCCTTCTCCTCCTCCTGCGCTGGCATGCGTTGGCATGCGTTGGCATGCATTGGCATGCATTGGCATGCGTTGGCATGCATTGGCATGCATTGGCATGCGTTGGCATGCATTGGCATGCATTGGCATGCATTGGCATGCATTGGCCTCATTATTGCACGGAGCAAGACCCCGCCATGTCGCCAGGCCGCAGTTGCGTAGGTCCAGCATGCCTGCCCGCAGTGCCAACAATTTGACCCCCAAAAAATAAGTACCAAATCTTGGCCGCGCTGCCCCACCTAAAGAAGAGGGTCGTCTGTTTACCGATGGTATTGTAGGCAAGGGGGGTGTCCGCAGCAGTTCGTGTTTTTAGCAGCCCAAAAAATATGGGAAGCGTGCCAAGGGAGGGGGGCTCTCCGTGCTACCCCTAACCCGGGCAGCCAATTCGTACCGATCTTTCTGGGGGCTACTAGCCAGGGCGAGCCCTCGCTAGCAACCCCTACGAACAGGCTGCGAGTTGGGGTGCAACCCAAGCAGACCTGGCAGTTTGGTCAGGGATCCTCCTCCTTCTCCTCCTCCTCCTTCTGGAGTCCTCCAGCTGGCATGGTGCAAAAGGCCTGCTCCGTCGAGTGCCCCCGTTTGGGGTGGGCTACCTCAAGAATGGCCCCGAGAAGCCCACTCAAAGGCCACGGACAAATGCCCCAAGAGAGCCCCAAGATGCCCTCGGGTCCCACAGGGCTTCAAGACAGGCCAAGGCAGGATCCAAGATTTCTCCAGGAGGCTCCAGGGGCTCCCCGAACTTGAGTTGTCGGGGCTGCTGGACTGATTCCAGCTTCAAACTTGAAATTGTTCCATTACTGCTCCTATGTATGCCTTCGCAGAACACTTCGCTTCTGGATGGGCTGGAAGGGGGCGCATGAGACGCCAAGAGTTGACCGACGCTGCCGACATGCGTTGAGGTTGGAAGTGGGGATCAGATAGTTATGCAATCCGAATCCTGCGGGTGTGCATCATCTGAACAACAAGTTGCGCCAGCTAGTGCTGCATCCCCTTTCTGCCCTTGCCTGTCCTTCACCAGCGCGGCGGAGAAGCCCGATACCAGCACTGCGCCAGGCTGCGTCGCCACGACCGGCACGCCCTGCCCGCAGCCGCCGAGATTCCAAAAGATCACCTCTGGCATGGCCTTGCCAGCCTTGCGGAACAGCTCTTCCGCGGCCTGGAAGACCGTCAGCTTTGCACCGTCCGCGCCGCGCAGCGTGCCTGGGCCGCTGCCTCGCTCGGCGGCCGCGCTGAAGGCCATGGCGGAGAAGACGAAGACCTTCTCGGGCGGCTCTGGCAGTTCCAGCAGGGCCTTGAACACGTCGTAGAGGTGTGCAGAGAGCGCCATAGGCTTCCTCCCCTCGAAGACCTGACACCATGGCTGAACCTAAACGGTGTGTTTCGTGTTCGTTTTGTCTTCGTTTTCTTTCGCTTTTGTCTCGAATCCGCCTGTACCGCAAAACGAAGTCGAAACGAAAACGGCCCAAGAAATCACCAAAAACACCGTTTAGGTCCAGCCCTGCCTGACACGTCGCGCCAGTGTCCTCCTGCACCCACTGGCCCCCGCGCGGCAGGACGTCCCCCCTGGAGCCGGACGCCACGGGGCACGTGAAGGGCTGCAGGGGCGCGCTGGCGGACGAGGGCGGCCGGCGCAGGGCGAGCACCCACTTGGAGCCCGCGGCGTCGAAGCGGATGCTCGCGGAGCCTCGCGCGTAGACGGGGTGGCGGTTCACCTTTCTTTGGTCTCCGTTCCTCGGGAGCCTACGCGTCGGCTGTTGCCAGAAGTGCCCCCTGGCCAGAGGTGCCCCCAGCTTTTCGTTCCATTTTGGAGCCCCGGAGGCCCTCTGGGCCTCATGAGGGGTGCCCTGGAGGCCGTTTTGGCCACCCCGAAAATCCTGGGGGTATCTTGGGCCAGGGGTACTTCTAGCAACACCCGAACGCGGCCCCCGGGGGCTGCCTTGGAATACTGGGAGGCCAGATGAGGACCGGATTCGCCCCGCCACGAAGGCGACGGGAAGAACGAGGAGGGGGAGGAGGAACAGGAGGGCGAGGAGGAGCAGGCGACAGGGCCAAAAGAGGTCCCAAAGTGGCCCATGTGTAGGGCAAGCTGATTTCAATGTCGCCGCTCAAGGCTCCTATGCACAGACATCGAACCTTTCCGATGAAGCTGTAGGGGCCGTTCAGCACGCCGCTTGCGCCACGGCAGCCGCGGACCGTGACATAGTCACTGGGGTGGCGCCGCTGGCTATCCAGAGCCTCCTGGTGGCGCCTGCGCAGCACCTGCGCTCGCCTCGCGACGGAGCTCGTATCCGCACCCAGGTTCACCATTGTCACGCTGTCCTCGAACGTGAGCACCTCGCTCGGTGGCAGCTCGCGCGAGAGCCGTTCATGCATCTTGCTGGCTCTGGCGGGTCGACCCTGGCCAGCGCCAGCCGACGACACCCGACGCTACATCGACGCCACATCGACCCAAGGGCGACGCTAGATCAGCGCTTCCCCATCGACTGCCAGACGCTGGCTCACGCCAGTGGACTCTGCCAGGGGCTGCCAGAAGTGCCCCTGGCCCAAGGTGCCCCCAGGATTTCCGAGGAGGCCACCACGGCCTCCAGCGCACCCCTCACGATGCCCAGAGGGCCCCAGCTCCCAAATTCAGCAAAAGGCTATGGGCACCCTGGGCCCTGGCTACCTCTAGTAACCCCCGATCTAAAAGCGGAGCTGCGAGGACACACGAGGCTCCTGTGCTTTGCTACCAAAGCCTTGTGGCAGAAGGGCTCGGCGGACACCTCGGACAGCACCAACGACAGGGCCATGGCGACGTCGAGGCACCTCAGCGCCCCGCGCGCGGGAGTCACGTCGTCCCACCAGAGCCGCTCGGCGCCAGCCTTGGCGCAAGACGGCAGGTCCATGGCGGCCACCGCCATCATCGACTCGGACATGTCGCAGACGGCGACGCAGCTGCGGAGCTGGGCGCCTTTCCGGACGTCCGCCACGAGGCTCCGCCACTGAAGCTCGGCCACGCCGGCCTGGATCTCCCGCCCGACCAGCGCCGTGCGCATGAGCTCGTGAGGCTGCGCGGCACCTGCGTGGATCTTCCGGCCCTTTCGTTTCTCCAGTTGGAACTCCAGATAGGCCTGGAAGCGCTCGGCGTCATGCTTCATGAAGAGCGGCGCGCACACTTTCATGCATGTGCCTGGCACAGACTTGTACCTGATCTCCGACCACCGGCCAGCGTTCATCAGCCGCGCCGGCTCCCTGCGGTGCTCCCTGAGCTCGTTCAGCAAGGCGGCGTACTTCAGCCGCGCGCGGTACGAGTAGTGCTGCTCCGTCAGCTCCGCGAACTCGGGCAAATGAGGCGGATACAGCATGCGCGCGATGGACTCGGCGACGAGGGTGCGGCGGTCGAACGACTTGTCCAGCAGCGGCGCCCATTTGCCAACCAGGCTCGCGCGCTTGCCCGCCTTCTTTAGCACTCGAGAGATATACAAGGGGGGGCACTAGCGGGGCGGAGGTTAAGGACAGCGGCGATTCTTCACCTCGGACACGTGCAGCACGAGTCCAGCTCAAACAGACCGGCAACGCGGCGGCTCCGATGCGGGTCCTTAACCCCCACCTTCTCGATGCCTCTATTGCGAAGTGCCGAGCCTGCACAGATCGCTCGTCGGCCGCGAGGCGGTCGGCGAAGAGTGCCGCCACCCGCAGGTGCAGTGCTCGGTACAGCGGGTCGCCGTCGAACCTGCGCACGGCATTCTCGGCCTGCTCCAGGCGCGTGCGGGGCTGCCAGCCGCAATTGCCGACCTTGCGGTTCCCCGAGTTCTGCCCGTTGCCAACCGCCTGCGCGGTCCAACCCTCAGACGTTTCAGGCGGGAGCTGCACCCAATCGCCGCAAGCGACGCGCAGCCCGAGCCTGCCGTCGTCTTCCCCTTGGGAGTACGTGTATCTCCAGCCAGGCGCGTCTTCGTTCACGGGCGGCGCGGCTGCGTCCTGCGCTAGCAGGCGAGGGCGTTGGTGCGCGTAGGCCTGGTACATCACCACGTCACGCTCCAGCGCCAGCTGCCCTCCCTCACAGATGCGCGCGAGAATCTCCAACAGGGCCTTCCAGTAGATCGCGGGCTCGACGTGCTGCAAATTCTGCAGCACGGTGGCTGGCGATTTTGCCCACAGCCACAGCATCGCGTCATAGAAGCTCCAGCGGTCTTGCTTGCCCTTGCGGGCAGCGCCGAGGTGGAACACCAGCCGCAGGCACACCTCCGGGTCCTCCTGCCACGCGTCCTCCAGCAGCCCCTCCAGCTTGGCGGTCGCGGCCCGCGAGGGCCCCGTCTTGGGCACCGCCTTGAACAAGAAGTCCACGTTCCGCCCCCGGCTCGAGGCGTGGGCCGCGGCCCCGCCGCGGCCCCCCCCCAGAAGCAGCAGGTCGCACCCCCGGAGGGCGCCGCTGCCGCCGCCCAGGAACTCCGCGACCAGGGCCGCGACGTCGCGCCGGCCGCCGCACTCCCTGACCAGGCCGCAGCGCGCGAGCACCGCGCGGACCGTGCGTCGCCTCTGGGCGTCGACGCGGTCGCGCAGCGGCGCCTCCGGCGCGCCCGTGGCGGCCACGCGGAAGGCCTCCTTGCAGGAGAGCCCAGAATCGCACTGGCCATCGCTTGGACGTCCATTCCCTGTGCTTTTTTCAGTTTCGTGCGTGGTTTTTTCGCCAAATGATCAAGGATACTCCTCGATGGTCCTCGCCGAGAGAAAATGCACACGTCCGAGCGATGCCAAGCGCATCGTCAAGTCGGATCGGGGGTCGGAGTGAATCGGATCGGCGGAGATCGGCAGCCGAGTCGGAGGAGGCGAACCGGCGGTCATTGGCAGGCCAATATGGCTCCCACTGCGAACCCAAAATCCAATCGGGATCGGATCCCAGACATCCGGCCGCTTCAATATTTCGATGCGGGAGGTCTGGACCACTTCCCCAGGGCCGGTTTTCCGCCCTGGGTAATTTTTTGACAGCCTCGAGGCCCTGCGAAGGCCCTCAGAGGCCGAAAACGGCCTGAGACCCGCCGCTCAAACTTTGTGGAGCGTCGGATCTCTCTGGGGAACCAGAAGGTACCGATACCCCCACTCCCCGGACCTCTCCCGGGGTGTGTTCCTACCAGAATTTCAAAGAGAATCCAGCCGTGGCGACGAGGGCCTCCCATGAGGCCGAGCAAGTGGAGAGCGAGGGAGAGGTAGAGGTATGGGTCCCACTTCGAATCGCATCGCTGTCGGCACCGGCATCGGCATCGGCATCGCAGCGCGTCGAGGTGGAGGAGCCGAACCGAACCTGGTCCTTGACGAACCAACAACACACACCCATACCCATAGGGGGGTCGGAGAGGGCCATGGGTGCGTGTTGTCGGATGGGGGTCCCCGCTCGAACGGGAGCGTTCCCCAGGAACCGACAACCCGCACCCATACCCATAGCCAGTCCTCCTCTCAACGACCCCCCTATGGGTGTGTGTGTGTGTGTGTGTGCGTGTGTGTGTGTGTGTGTGTGTGTGTGTGTGTGTGTGTGTGTGTGTGTGTGTGTGTGTGTGTGTGTGTGTGTGTGTGTGTGTGTGTGTGTGTGTGTGTGTGTGTGTGCGTGCGTGTGTGTGTGCGTGTGTGTGTGTGTGTGTTGCTCGTTCGTCAGTCCTGGCGCAGCCGCGGGACCCGCAGCTCGCTCGGGCCGCACAGCCCGAGCGGCGGGGCCGCGGCCGCCGCGGCGGCGGCCATGAAGGCGGAGCGCGGCGCGGGGCAGCCGCGGCGCCCGCCGGCGGCCCGCGCGGGGAGCGGCTGGTGGGCCTGCTGGGCCCTGGGAGCGATACTCACACTTTTCCGCCTCCACCTCCTCCTCCTCCCTCCTCCTCCTCCTCCTCCTCCCTCCTCCTCCTCCTCCTCCTCCTCCTCATCCTCATCCTCCTCCTCATCCTCCCCCTTTTCCTCCTCCATTGGAAGGGGCCTCTCAGGCTTTCGTCAGGCCTGAACGCGGCTGTCCATGAGAGCAGCAGTGTCCAGAAGAGCAAGAGCGCAGCTGAGCACGGGAGGGCGTGCAGGCAGCTGCGGAGCTCGGACTTGCAGAAGCAAGGTGCGGACGACGCTGCAGAGCCCTATAAGAGAGCAGAGCATTGACAGCGCGAGCGATAGGGACGCTGGACGCTTTGTATGTTTCTCTGGACGCTGGACGATCGGGACGCTCGACGTTTTGATGGGGACGCTGGACGTTTGTCGTGCGATAGGGACGCTGGACGATGGGGCCGTTCTTTTTACCGGTGCTGTTTGGACGTTTTGGTTGTCGGTTCTGACGCCTCTTGTATTTTCCGGCCCCGTCACCGTTTTCTGGCCGACGGGTTCTGGCTCCCATTCCGGAGCCGTTCTTGTTGCCGTTTCCAGTTGCCGTTTTGCGCCCGCCTCCATCTTGAAGGGATGCTCTTTCGGAAACGGTAAAAAAACAGCCCAGCCGCTTCCGCGGCCCACCAAACTCGTGGACAGCTCCAGCCAGGACTTCCCGAACTCGTGGGAAGCGCCCTCAGCGGGCGCGCGCGGGCGCGTGCGGGCGCGGGCGCGGGAAGGGTACTGGAAACCAACCCAGCCCTGCGTGATCTCAATCGTCGACGTGCTCGCCTCGGACAAGTCCGCCCTCTCAGAGGGCACCAGCATGTGCGATCGCAGTTTTCTTAAGTTCGAGCCGAGTCTGGACGATGTCGTGTGGCTTGGACGCACAGCTGTCGCGTTTCCACTGCATGCTGGACGGATGCGGCGAATGCGGCTGCTCCAATTTGGGCTGTTCCGAACACCGCGCCGCGGCGTTAGCGCGGGGCCTGCGGTGAAGGAGCACTGAAGTGTGTAGCAGCCCAACTCCTATTTTGCGTCGGCGAAGTGTTCCGCGTTGGCGTGTAGTGTCAAGCTTTAGTACAATTGTCTGGAATGGTTTAGTCAGCAACGCTCGGTGGGCCAACGCCGTTCCAAGGGCATGTTCACAACTATTGCTGATGTGCACCCCAGTAAGAAGCTGGTGACGAGAACGTTGAATCTAAACCCTCTCCTGCTCCTCCTGCTCCTGTTCCTCCTGCTCCTGCTCCTCCTCCTCCTCCTCTTTTTCTTCCTCTTTCTATGGCAAAAATTAGAGGACAACGCTGGCGCTGCGGAACATTGGAGAATCAAGAAAACACTGGAGCTCCGAACTCCATTATCCTCCGTCATTTACCAAGCCCAATCGATTTGCGAGGATCCCGGGCCCGAAACCGTTCCAAAACGCCCGTTGTTAAAAATTGCAGCACCAGGATCTCAGGGTCCTTCAAGTTTCGAGCTGCGGGCGCAGGCGATGCAGGCAGGCATCGCTGGCGACGCGGCGCTCACAAACACTAAGACGAAGCCAGGACGAGGACAACTCCGAAGGAAGATAAATCGAGGATCTCTGAGATCCAGCGGCTCTGAAGGATGTATCGGGCGCCGCGGCCTTGTCAGAGCGTTTCGGAACGCCCTGAGAGCGTTCCAGAACGCTCTGGATCGGACTTGCCCTCGTCCTGGCTCCGCCCGATATCCCGCTCCTCCCTCTCCTGCTGCTCCTGCTCCTCCTCCTCCTCCTCCTCCGCCTCCTCCTCCTCCGCCTCCTCCTCCTCCTCGGCCTCCTCCTCATCCTCCTGCTCGTCCTTTTCCTCCTCCTCCTCCTCCTCCTCCTCCTTCTCATCCTCCTCCTCCTCCTCGGCCTCTTCCTCCTCCTCAAGCTTCGAGCTGCGGGCGCAGGCGACGCAGACGTCGCTGACGACGCAGCGCTCGCAGACGCGCGGCGTGCGCGCGCGCCTGGGCGCAGGCCGCCGCCGGCCCAGCAGGGCCCGGGGCCGCGCGGCGCGCCGGCACGCTGCCGGCTCGGCGGATGGCCCCGGGCGGCAGGCCCGCGGCCTGGTGCCGCGCCGGTTTGTTCCCTTCGACTGCGCTTCTGTTGTTCCCATCCTGCTGAAGGACCGCATCCCAGACATAATTTCGAGCACCCCAAAAAGTGTCAAAAGAGTGTCGAAGCAGTGTCGGGCGAGTGTCTCCCAGGGCCCGACACGTGAGAACCCTTGAGTTTCGATACTTGTTTGGCCGCTCGAAATTATTCCTGGTAGTCGAGGCTAAAGTAGGCTGGAGCATCACAAGACTACGCGTAAGAGTGACCCCTCGCAGGAGTGACCTTTGGTGCGGGCCCAGAGGGGCCCCCGGGAATGCCGAAGGCGATGCGATGGTAGCGTCTTGCGCGCTGGTGTTTGGCCCCCCCGTGGCCCCCAAAAAGCTGCGCACTCAAGGTCACTCTTACCCAGGGTCACTCTTGCGTGTAGCCGATTCCTCCCCTGGTCAATTTGACAAATGCTGGGGCACCGGGATTCGCTACGGCGAAGGCGCTGGATAAGGAGCCATCAGAGAAGGAACCAAGGGTATGGAAGTCGGTGGAACTCCAATCGTGGATTGGCAGTGGATATCACTGCCGCCCTCATCAGATAAGGAACCCCTGGGGTCTGTAGCCTCATGGGCACATTCCTTCACGAACGCCCCCACCATATCCGACTCCCCCCAATCCCTGGCCGACTCTGACTGGCCGACTTGCCGACTGGCCGACTGCGGAGTCGGAAAGAATTTTTCCAGTGCCTCACAAACTGTCCTTCCCGAGCTCGGGGGGGAGGAAACGGACCCAGGCCCCCTCCCGTCGTGACACAAATCAAAACACGAGGTTTTTCACTGTTTGCGGCCCCTAAGGCCCTCACCGGGCCTCGGGGCCGTCAGAAAACGGCTCAGGATGGAAAACAGGTCCTGGGGCATGGGTCCGAGTCCCTGGGAGTCGACGTTGTGAACAAATCATGACGTTGGGGGTCTGGGGAGGGGGAGGAGGAGAAGGAAGAGAACGAGGACAGAGAAAGGCGTGGGAGGAGTAGGAGAAGGAGTAGGACTAGGAGTAGGGAGTAGGAGTAGGAGTAGGAGTAGGAGTAGGAGGAGGAGGATGAGGAGGAGGAGGAGGAGGAGAGGAGGAGGAGGAGGAGGAGGAGGAGGAGGAGGAGGAGGAGGAGGTAGAGGAGGAGGAGGAGGAGGAGGAGGAGGAGGAGGAGGAGGAGGAGGACGACGAGAAGGAGGAGGCGGAGGAGGAAAGGGAGGAGGAGGAAGAGGATCGAGGCAGGAGGTGGAGGATAGAGGAAGGAGGAGGAGGAGGAGGAGGAGGAGGAGGAGGAGGAGCACGAGGAGGAGGAGGAGGAGGATAATCACGGAGGAGGAGGAGAAGGAGGAGGAGGAGGATGAGAAGGACGAGGAGAACAACGAGGAAGAGAAGGAGGGGGAGGATGGATTCCTGCGTCCTCGGGAAACTCTGGTGCCCCCAGCCCGAGGGGAGGAGGAGGGTAGCGCGAGGCGAATACTTCGAGGGACCCGGGCTTCACCCAGGATGCGTCCACGGTGCAGCAAGACACGCTCCCGTCCCGAGCCCCCTCCGAACAGATCCCTGCAGGCATGCGCTTCCGCTGGGCGAAGCGCGCTTCAGCCCCGGGCGAGGCGCCCCCTCCAGGGACCACCGCCCCAGGGGCCCGCACTTCCGGCGGGGGGCATCTCTGCAAGACGAGCTGCTCTCCAACCTTCAGGCCAGAAACAATGCAACACTCGCCATCGCTCGGACGTAGATTCCGTGTTTTTTAATTTCGTGCGTGTTTTTTTCGCCAAGTGATCAAGGATGCTCCTCGATAGTCCTCGCCGAAGGAAAAATGCACACGTCCGAGCGATGCCAAGAACAAGGTGGGGCCATCACGTTCCGAGAACTGTGCAGAGCTCTTCGCCAAGGAGCCGCCCTGCAGTCGTGCAGCGGCTGGTGGTGAACGCGGAGGTCTCTCGCGAGAGCCCCATTTTCAAAAAGAACACCTCCATCCGTGTAGCTGAAGCGCAGTTATTCACTTGGTGTACTGAAGAATGCCGAAGACCCCGGCGAAAGTCCAATAAACCGACGCCGTCCACCCGTATCAGTGTTGCACAACTCCAGCAGAGTCCAACTTTAAAAACGGGCCGACGTCAAGCCGTCTGAATGCTTCACAACTCACACTTCCCCTGAACAGATGGACGGACAACTCGAGCGAAAACGCCATTCTGCCAACGGGCAGCCCTGGTGGCGAGGGCGCGGCGGCGACGGGATACGGGAGGGGGAAGAGGGGGTGGGGGGCCCCCGAGCGGCCCGTCCCCAGGGCCCAGACCCGACGCTCCAACAGAAATCAGACCGGCCAATTTTTGGCCGATTCCGGCCTCTGGGGGCCCGCCGGACCTTACGAACGGCTCGGGACGGGAGGCCGGCCCTTGAGGGAAGTCCAGACCCCCCTGGGCCCATGCCTCGAAAAAGTTCTCTTTCCTCCTCATTCTTCATTCTTTATTATTTATTATTCTTCTTATTTGTTTTTTTTTTATTTTTTTTTTTTTACCCCCCCCCTTTTTTTGGGGGGGGAGGGGGAGGGGGTGTGATGATGATGAGGAAGAGGAAGGAGGAGGAGGGGGAGAAGGAGAGGAGGAGGAGGAGGAGGAGGGAGGAGGAGGAGGAGGAGGAGGAGGAGGAGGAGGAGGAGGAGGGGGGAGGTGGAGGAGGAGGAGGAGGAGGAGGAGGAGGAGGGAGGAGGAGGAGGAGGAGGAGAAGGAGGAGGGAGGAGAAGGAGGAGGAAAAAAAGGGTAGGAGGGCGGGAGGAGGAGGAGGGAGGAGGAGGAGGAGAAGGAGGAGGGAGGAGGAGAAGGAGGAGAAGGAGGAGGAGGAGGAGGAGGAGAAGGAGGAGGAGGGGAAGGAGAAGGAGGAGGAGCAGGAGAGTGAGGAGGAGGAGGAGGAGGAGGAGGAGGAGGAGGCGGAGCGTGTTCAAGAAAGGCCCAAAGTCCTGACCTAGGCACTCTACGACGAGGGAAAGAGCTGCCTCCAGAGGGGAGGTCAACAGCCTGCCGCGCGGGCATGGCGATCGGACGAGCGATCGAGAGGGGGAACGACCCGCTGATGCCCGCTCGTCCCTCCTGGTGGAAGAGACGATGCAGGTGGAATATCAGCTCGCTCCACACTTCGAGCCGAGTCCAGTGATGGTTCGACGAGTAAGGGGGAGGAGAAGGAGGAGGAGGAGGAGGAGGAGGAGGAGGAGGAGGAGGGGGAGGAGGAGGAGG